AAAGATTAAGGATAGATAGATTGTACCTGCACATTTATACTTTGGACAAATTTTATATTATCAGTGTCCTTTAGTGACTGATGGAGCTTTAAAATCGGCTGCAATTAATGCACACAATAGCATTTAGAAACCCTGAAAAAAATATTATATTAAAAAATGTAGGTGTGTGTGCGTGAATGTATATATAAGAACGACATCCTACATCTTAAATTAAAGATATATTTTCCTACAAAAGACAAAGCTGCCACTTATAATATTATACAGAAAAATGTGAGGGTGCAGAAGGAGAGAAAAAACACAAGATCTGAAAGTGAGATTCGAACGCGCTCCATTGTTCTTTATTGACGCACTGTCCACTACGCTATTCCCGTGCTCTGTATCATCTGTGTAATGATACGCAGTAATGTATGACCAAGGAACTGTACAAAAGTGTAAAAATCAGTTCAGTGCAACGCGTACTGTACAGGTGGTCCTACTGCCACATTGTACAGTTGCCTAAAATGCCCTGACGCCTATACAAAGAGCTGCACTAAATGTTTTTTTATGGTAAGCGCAGACCCGCGGTTTGTCACATTTGATTTCAAAAAGGTTTGTTAAATACATTAACATTATGAATTTGGTTATGAAAAAAACTATGCACTTATAACCCTCTCACAACGAAAAAACTTGTATCTGTGTGTCCACATCCATAAATATTCTCATCAAAAGAGCACGCAATGCTCAGTAAACTCTCTGAAACAGACAAACTCTGAAACATAGCAACTTACTCTCTGAACATAACCTGCTCCGGAGCAGGTTATCTTCAGAGAGTAAGTTACTATGGCTACTTAACATACCCAGAAGTTACCTCCGATTTTGTAACCAAAGTTGAGGCTATCCACCTACTTACTCTCAAACTTACCCGTGTATGTCACATAACCTGCTTTCTGGAACAGCCCCCGGGAGGCAAACATACAGCCGGCTACAACCCTAACATTAGTTTCAGACACAACTGCAATGTATTTTACTGGTGAATATGTCATGTAAAAACACTTAACAAACACATTATATGTATATTTTTCATTAATTTAAACGGAAACCTATATCTAACTGAAACCATAGATAATCAAAAATGAGCTTTTGTGTCAGCAGAGATCCAGCCTCTCATCGGAGAATGTGGATATTATGGTGTTTTTAAAGAAGATCTTTCACTAGTCTACACTGCAATTATTTTATTTTAGTTTACTTAGTTAAGATGGCTGCACTAAAGAGAATAGTTTTTTTTTTCTGACTAGTCTATATTGGAGGTATTTATTTAATTTTAGTTGTTTACTCTGGTATCCTGACTGTACCAAAAATGTGATGACAAAGTTAATAAAGAAAAAGTTAAGATGTTCTTGTTATTAAGTGAATCTATTGTCCCTTAGCATTGCTGTTAACATGACATCAACCCTAACCCCACAGCAAACAGAAACCGAACCGTATCGTGGCTCCAAAACCATGAACCGAATCGAACCGTGCCTTTGGTGTGTCGGTACATCCCTGTCTTCAACACTTGCTTTATCAGTTTGTTTGTACGAGAGTAATTAACAAAAATAAATCAGGTAAAAGAGTAAGTCTGATTAAGAAACAAAATGCCACAAATGACCCTACCAAAACTAGTTCTCTATTTTTTATATATAGTGATGTATACTTAGAATGGAATGACATTATGCTGTTTAATAAATTAAACTTTCATTATAACTCAGACTTTTGTGTTGCTTTATTCAAACAATAGCTCTCATTACTGGGAGTATTACGTTGTATAAAGAGTTTAAATTTTTTTTGTCAATAGCAGGGGTGATAGCGTTCCGGCACCACGCCGGATTTCCGGCGTACTGTGGCTGCGGGGGAAAAAAAATCAGGTTCACGGATATTGATCTGTCATTTCTCTAGATTCACAGAATTCACTCACTGCTACTGATTAATTGTGTAATTTAGAGAGCTTTATAAATTATAACGGATCTTTGTGAGATCTCTATGAACTAAGATTAGTGACGCATTTAGTGATAATAAGAGGAGCGTGCTTTGCACTTTCCAGGTTATAATCCATTCAGAATTTGTATGAAACTTTCGTTTTCGGCACATAAACGCTGATATGTTTTGGGAATGACATCTGCATATTTACGCTGGGTTTATTCTCGAAATAACGGTGAAGAAATAGACGGGACAAAAATATATTTCCCCCTTCTCCTTAAACAACTTAGTGTTTCAGCTATGAAAGAGTTCAGTTTTGTATGTAGCCTAATGTCAAAGTGTTTATATTTAGTTTCGTTTTTTATTCGGCTTATTTAGAAAAACGTTTGGAGCATTTTTTATTCGTTAAAAATAATTTTTTTTTAACGAACAGCGCCCAGCGGAAGACCCTCATTGTCTGTTTGATCAGTTTGCCTTCTCAGATCATCACGACTTGCCTAAAATAAAAGATATAAAACAGTTCAAGTATAAAACAATGGTAGCTTAAACGTTAAAGAATGTGTGCTATTAGGCGCATAGTTTGCTTTTAAAAAGCTTGCAGGACATCGAGGCGCCAGAGCAATCATTTGCATTTTTTCAGTGGGAGCAATTTAAAGTTATCCGTCATTTTTGCTCACAAAGTACGAGTAATACATCAAAAAACGTTTCAGCGTTTTTATAAAATAAAGAAAACCAAAATTATGCGCTTTCTGTCGTCTGGTTTTTGAACAGGAGCGCTTAACAAAATGAAGCAAAATGTATATGCCTCACAGACATAATAAATATATTTATAGAAAGCTTTAAATTATTACTTAACGAAATAAAACAAATCGAAAACAAAAAAAACTCCTTCATGTAATCCGTAAAGATGAATTTCTCTCTAAAGGCGAGTCCAAGAGGAGATTGCCAGTCAGGATCTTTGCGACACTGACTCAGAATAAGTTTATTAATAAATAATTAAGATATGTCCTTACTCTTTCCTCGACACATTCATTGTTATTTGTTTTTGCCGGTGCTTGGGGCGAGTTTTAGCTTATTGTGTGTGCTTGAACGCGGATTCACAGTAGCAGTTTTAACATGGAGTGACACGACATCTGACGTACAGATGACACTGGCACATGCCACTGAGTGTAGTGACACTTCCGGTGGCACGTCCGGTTTTCCACTGTCATGTGTCACTCGCTAGTGGCATGTGTAGCGACCTGTGTCACTCAGAGTGTCGCGCTGCATGTCACTGCAGTGACATGGACACCCGGCGAAGCTTATGACATTAATTAACACGAGCAAAACCATATTTAATCAATACGCGACATTTAACCTAATTTATCGCGTCGCAAGTTAGTTTATTTGCTGAGCTACTCCACGATGTTTTAATTTAAACGCATTTATTTTATGTATTCGTAGTCATACTTCCGTACGTAATATAGTCATTTGACAGTACATGTCAGTCAAATTTATTGTGGCATGCTTATGTATGGGAGGGGTTACACTTATCTGTTGTACTGTATATTATTGCATCCTGGCAGTTTCTTTGTTCCCTACAATATGGACTTCTCTATGTTTTTAATTCATTCATTTATTTTATTATTTAACTTATTTTCATTTTAAGGTATTTTAAATAATATCCTTTAAAAAGTTATAATAAAATGCATGTTGAAAACTCATAACATATATGCATGTAAGATAACAGGTGTCATTTGCCTAATGATTTTTAAATATTAAAGCAAAGAGACTTATAAGATTAATGTGCTTATAACGTGCTTATACTGACACCTACTGGCACATGTCACAAGATCACTGACACTGGCATGTGTCACTGACATTACTGGCATGTGTCTTAAAAGAGCCACTTGACAATAATGATGATCAGGGTTACACATAGGCTGTAAATATATTTGGGCCCAGGGGCCCACAAGTTATGTGTTAAAAGTGCGTTGCATACATAGTACCCCCACCCCTACTCACCTCAGGGGCAAGGAAAAAAAGTTCAGGCTCAGGAATTTTTTCCACTATCAGCCCTGCAATAGCAGGTACATAATTTAGCATCGGGTGAAAACCTGAAACTTTATTCAATCGTTTTATATTCATGTAAAAGCTTCAAAACAAACCTCTTTCCAGTCATATCACAGTCCAGGAGCGACGCAGCCTTATGACATCACACGCCGCGCCAAAATAAAGGTCTTTTTGTTTAGCTTTTTTTGCCACTTACTGTTGCAGTCATGGCTTATTTATACATTTCTCCCTCGTTTTCCACTTTTTCACATACACAGACACACAGACATTCAGTATTAGGAGTTGATCTAAACCCTTAATCTAAACATTTGTAAGACAAAAAAATAAAAAATAAATTAGCCATAGTGTATGCTGTGATTTAAGTTTTGTAATATAACTTTCTAATTAAAGATTGAGGATCTTTTTCAAAATTGTGTTAAAATATTTCCCTTGTCAAAAAATCTTATTGGAATTTCAGTTTATCCTTTAGGATCCTATTGGATCTTAAAGGATTCCTAAAATTCTAATGGACATTCTGAATTTTTCACTTTGTCCTATATAGGATTTTAAAATTTCCACTTTGTGTTTAGAATCTGATTTAGATTTTTAGAATTATTAGACTGTGATTAGATTGTGTGTTTTTTTTTTATGGAATTTCCCTATGTTATAGGATATTTTTGATTTTGTCAATAAATAATTTAGATCACTGTAGTATAGGATGTTTTTTTTTCCGAAGACCTATGATTTTTCTTAAAGTATAATGATTATAATATGAACATATAAAAATTATAAAATAATAAAACAATTCAGTAAACATTATGTATTACATTATAAGTAAACATATTAAATTAAAAAAACCAATGAAACAATGTTTTGTTATTTTGTCTTATTTAATCAGCCTCTTCAAATTTGCTTTTATTTAACAAAAAAAAAACAGTATGTCTTTTTTTACTAGATAATTAATTACAGTTTATATAGAGTAGTTAATTTACAGTATTTTACAGTGTGTGTGTGTGTGTGAAATACAGTAAATGTGGTATTTTTGTCATGAATTGTGTGTCTGCCACCTGGCGATAAAATACATCAGTTTACAGGCATTAAATAAAGTAATTTCGGTCGTCTTTATAACATGATAAATTCTGACCATGACGTTGCTGGATTCTGCTTCAGCTGCTGCTCGCTTCTCATGTCTGCTTAACCAGGTAAGTTTAGCCTTTCAAATATGAGTTAATAGTTGAGTTCTGTATTAAATTAGAAATAAATAGTTGAGAATTGATCTGTGTTCAGTTACACCCATTGTAGTGATTCGCTTGAATCATGAGTGAGCAGTAAACTGGCGACTTAGGCGATCTATTTAAACTCATGTAATTTGGTGTTAATTAGATGTATCATGTTTGTTTGTTGCTGTTTATGTGATCAACGTACGCAATGACAGGTGTATTTAACGTTACTGCAAAGGAAAAATATTTGAATAGCAGCAGATCTGATGTAATACGCTCTAGTCTAAACTATCGTTACGTGATGAATTATTGTCGATCTCACAAACAATTTAATATATATATTTATATAATGAAAGTGTGCTTTTCATATTGAGTTAATCATATTGCCCTAACGCTAACGTTTAAACTTTGAAAAAATAGATTAACCCATTACTAATATTGTCACAACTTGTCAATGACATGAGTGTATCAACAGTTTATCAATTTAACATGTTAATCAACTTCTCTTCACACCTCTGTGTTATTTGACTGAATTATTTTTTGTCTCACTTTTTATCCTGTGTTATCAGATTATTGGTTCTGCACTGACTCGTTGTTAGTCTTTGCTTGCTGAAAAAAAAATGACATCATCTTTTTAAACTTTGTGTTTATGCTATTAACATACTTCTTTGCAGTATTGGATGCCATCTAGTCCTGATTGCATTTTGACTCCAGTTCCAGTCCAGCACAGTTATACCTGCCGATCAACAACCTAAAGCTATCAAGCAGATGTGTGGGCAGCTGTGAGCCAAACTCTTAGGAACATTGGTTTTCCAGGATGAGGACTGGTCATCACTCCAGTAAGTGATCAACCTAGCATGGCTCCCCCTTAACTGGAAACAGTAACTGGGAACCAAGACTCAACTGGTGTGATTTGTTAAGATCATCTAGGAAATATTTTTTAAATGAATATTAATTTAATCTTTTTATAGAATTATCTGTTGTCTGAGACCTGACTAGGTGGCCAAGAATTACATTTCTCCTTTCTGCTTCATACAAAACAATCTATCTTACAGGAGCCAAGCTCAGTCAAAATAAAATCATCATATTATTTAAACTTTAGTTTTATCTGGTGATTAAAGTTGACATGCAAACCCACTGTGTGCAGACACCTCAGCATTGAAGGCTATTACGCCAGTCTCACAATGCATGAGCAGTGTATGTTTTTTCTGCTGAGGTTCTCAGGAACTGCGCAGAAATGGTTTTCTGCATGCATCAATCTATTTGTTTTCTATTGAACTAGTTTTTTTTTTTGCATTCTCCGTCTTTCTTTCTCTCTCTCTCCGAAAAAAAATTAAAATAAATCAAAGCCTTAATTTGTTTTAAGTGTTGAAATGTCTAGAACTTTGTCATCCGGGAACTCCTGTAAATATTTTATTTCCCGAGTTCCCCCAAAAAATACGTTACTCTAGAAATTTTAAGGTAAAAATGGTAGGGAAAATACAAACATGAAAATTTAACTTTGTTTAGTTTAACTCAATATAGTTTTTATGTTTGGTTGTTTTGTCTCACTTAGATGGAGATACAAAAAGCAGCTTGGACACAGCATCCAAAGTGGACACTTCTTGCAAGACACAGGGTGATGGAAAGAGCAGAAGATCAGTGATCAGGTATAAATATATGTATAATATGTATATATATGTATGGGTAGAAAGCACTAAGCCTTAAATAAAAATGAATAAAATCTACTTTCAGGGGAAGCTTGCTTGTACAAAAAGTGTAGAATGATGCTGAGTCGTCAAGAAAAGTCACAGAAGAGCTGAAGCCAACTGAGCAGAACACAGAAGTGGGGGGTCAAGGCTATTGCTCTTATGGACAGAGCCCTTCATGTACTGTATGTCAACAGAAGTGCCGGCCGCTTGTGCTTTCACTTCAGTTAACAGTTGTTTATTTCTCTGAGTCCTGGAAGTCCTGCTTTAAGTTTGTAGCATTCTGTTTAGTTTTATCTGTGAGGACAGAAGTAAGACAGGTTCTCAGTCTTCTACCACAGAGTCATTGTGTTTGATCTAGACTGGCTCATCACTAATGCCTGAAGCACATCTGACTCGTGTTTCTGAAAGGGTTCAAATAAATTCAACCCAACACAGAAAACATTTACACAGTGATGTAGCCCAGATCAGTGAGGCCTGCTGGCCATGTTAGTGGATGTAAACTAAACACTGCATTTGTCCCAGCCCTTGCCTCTTGGATTTCTTGAAGCAGTAAGTGAATGAGGCTATAAGAGATTCACATGTGATTTAACAGTCAGAGGAATGATTGTGGAACTGTGGAGCATTATTTACACATGCATAAATGTGTGGTGGGAAAGAAGAAGAACTGGGAGAACTTTCAACATTTCTGTCACAAACCAAAGCTATCTGTCATATACCCGAGGCACTTCTCTGAAATTGCATGAAGAAACAAATAAATAAAATGCACACAGTGTCTACATTTTTTTCAGTATTACAACTATTTATTCGAGTTCTTTTCTTGTGATAAATACAAATAAAATAAAAAATACAATTTTTTTTTCATAAAAAACAGGCTACAAAGGTTTGTCCCTCAATATAAACTCAACCCTATTACGCTAGCATTGTTCCACCTATAGCAATTTATTTGTATTATTACATCACAGACAGGAAGTGACATCATTCAGCTCTTTTTAACAGCACGGTGCAAAAGAAGGCAAGATATATTTTCATTCATTTAATTTCTTTGAGGTTTACTATGGTAAGGAAGGGTACGGTCAAGCTTAACAATTCAACCCTGTAACCTAAAACTAAGATGGAGTATGATTGTTTTCTTAATGTCCAAACAATATGACATATTCTAGTTTAACTGCTGCCATGTGGACCTTCTCTCTTAAACCACACGAGCAGCAGCGGCCATTTTGTTTTATAGACACAACCCCATCACACTCAACCATAACAGGATTGAGATATTCTCCTAATTTGTCATGAACATTTCAGTAAATATATACTGACTATAACTTTATTTAGTCACTGAGAGAATATTTGAAGCAGTGTTTCCACTGAAACTGTGACACAATCTTATCTCAGACATGGCGCCCGTATCAGCAGCAGATTTTATATTGAATGTGTCACGAGTTTCATCATGAGTTAAAGCTGATCAAATCAGAACATGTGAAGTGAAAAAAGACTTTAATTATGTAAACAGTTCATTTGCTCATCTCAATGTCATGTGACAATTAGCCAACGTTAGAGAGGAGGTCATTAAGGGCAGAATTCATATTAATATTAGAGATAAAGAGGCTTCAGCTGTCAAAAGGTTGAGGAATATCTGGTGGTCTGCTGTAGCCCATCCGCCTCAAGGTTGGCTGTGTTGTGTGTTCAGAGATGCTCTTCTGCAGACCTCAGTTGTGACGAGTGCTTATTTGAGTTACTGTCGCCTTTCTATCAGCTGGAACCAGTCTGGCCATTCTCCTCTGACCGCATCAACAAGGCATCTGCGCCCACAGAACTGCCACTCACTGGATATTTCCTCCCCTAGAGATGGCTGTGCGTGAAAATCCTAGTAGATCAGCAGTTTCTGAAATACTCAGAGCACAGAGCAGCCCGTCTGGCTGTATAATTCTATTATTATTATTATTATTATTATTAAGAATTTTCATTTAGAAGACATTAAGTTTTCTGCTGCAGTTTTTCTTGATGTTCCAGAAAATAAAGGTTTAGTCATGATGTAGCTGTTGCTCCTGTTCACTGTAGGTTCTGTTCAGCAGTATATTCGGGAACACAGGCCTTTATCAGCATTTGTAAAGGTTACTAACGCTCCAGTTACCTGCAGCACTTCACTGTTCTGAATTCTGACTGTAGTTTGGTTTAATGAAGTTTAATGTCATCTCAGTGTGATCAATGTCTAAATGTTTTATTGAAATAAAGAAGTGTTTTGGTTTAGTCTTAGATTTAATTTCACATTAATTAAAACAAATTAACATTGAAATGAAAGTGTCTCCTCAACCCTGTTACGGTCTTCACCCCGTCACTGTATTCTCCACCCTGTGATATTCATATTGTTTAAGGGAAACAATTAAATATAGAAAAACCTCTTGCTGAGGACCAGCCGCCATGTTAAGCCTGACATTGTGAGCATGTGGTTTGGGTAAGACATCTAAAGTTAAAGCTTTTTTAGAGAAATAAAGAGAGCACAGATGCACAAGTTGTATAATTGTACCTTAAATCACATCTAAATCTAAAACTCCTCAGAAATGTGATGTTTTAGCCATTAAGCTGGTTTGAGGCACATATGAGCAACAGGGAAATGTTGGTTTTACAGCAAAAGCTTTGTGAAATGCTATTATTAAACTCAGTTTAGTCCGTTACGGTGTTGAGAATAACGGCTGTGCAAATAAGAATAAAAGAGAAAATAATATAAATAAATAAAAGATGATATTGTGAACGTTTCAATTGTGCCTCATGATGTAGGCTATTTAACAATATCATCAACACACTTTTAAACATGAGTTTGCTCAAGCTGAACTATTAGCCAACGCCAGGAATGAGCCTTATATTCTCTCAACTCTTAAACGTGCGCACACTACAAGATCTGAACACATCGGGCACAGCACACAACAGGATACTATTGAGACGACTGTGCCTGATGGAGCACATCACCCGACTGCAGAAGAACTCTGCTTTTTATTATAGGCCAGCGCACACATATCTGAGCCACTGCCAGAGCCAACAGCCTGCAGAATCAAGACAACAGCTGCTTGTTGAAGAGAGCACATCATGTCCAAACACACATCTGATATCCTGATGATTATTCGGGATCAGAGAGAAGACGAAGGCAGATGAACAGAAGGAATGGATATGTGATGATGCTGTAGGGGGAGAGCGGTGTGGAGAGTTTTGTGTAAAGCACCATTGACCAAACGTGTTGGGGATTTACAATGGAGGATTCTGCAAGGGAATGTGGCAGTGAACGCTTCATATGTGTTGTTCACTCTAGTGTCCATGACGAGTGTCTCTTCTGTGGACATGGAGAGACTGTGGATCATCATGGCTATCTGGAGTGTAGACGCTGAACACAATAGTTTGATATGTGGAGCAGAGTTTTCCTGAGATGTGGACAGAATTGGACTCAGTGTAAGTTTCTTCTGGAGCTGGCGATAGTCAGAGACACAGACTAAAATGGTGGCTCATTCACTGTTCAGCTGCTCAAGCAAAACTTGCTCTTGCTCACCACAAGAAGAACCAGAACAGATGATGAACATGATCAAGAGATTTAAAGCAATTCTCTCTCTCACACACACACACACACACACATACACACACACTCTCTCTCACACACACAAACATAGACACTCTCACACTACACACACACACAGCAGTGAACACATGCGCACACACACACACACACAAATTCTCTCTCACACACACAAACATAGACACTCTCACACTACACACACACACACAGCAGTGAACACATGCACGCACACAAACACACACACATATGCGCAGATACACGCTCACACACACACAAACGCGCACACTCTCTCTCTCTCTTTCTCTCTCTCTCTCACACACACTGTCTGTCGCGCGCGCGCGCGTGCGCGCGCGCACACACACACACACACACACACACACACACACACACACACACACACACACACACACACACACACACACACACACACACACACACGTGCGCGCGCGCACGCACACACACACACACACACACACACAAATACAGACACTCTCACATGCACACCCACACACGCACACATACTCTCTCACACACAAGCATGCATGCACTCACACTAACACTCAGACACACACACACACACTGCTGCTGACTGCTCCTGCAGAGGATTCTGGGTAAATCTCTCGTCAGTCTTCAGCTCAGTTTCACTGATGATCCAGGATAAAGCCCAAACCCAGCACAGAGCGGCTCAGTGAATGTGGTCTGGACTGAGTGGATGAGGCTCATTGTGTCTCTATAGATGTTGTAGAAGATCAGAGTTCCTGCACTGTGATCCACAAACACTCCTATTCTCCTGCTGAGCGGCTTCACTGGGAGATCAGTCTCTGTGTCATTGTGCCAGAATGAGAAACTGGAGGAAGAGCAGAACAAACTCCAGGACTGAGCATTATATCCAAACACACACTCACGACCTCTTCCCTTCCTCCTGATGCTCTTATATGACACTGATATACACACACCATAATCTCCACTCCAGTCAATCTCCCAGTAACAGCGTCCACACACACTCTCTCTGCACAACACCTGATGATGAACATCAAATCTGTCTGGATGATGAGGATACGGCTGATTCTCTCTCACACTCTTCACCTCTCTGTTCTCCTCAGACAGAATGAGTTGAGTGTGTGCTGTGTTTGGATCCAGAGTGAGGAAACAGACATCTGAACACAAGAACACACACATTTACAACCACAGCTGTGTGTGTGTGTGTGCATGTGTTCACTGCTGTGTGTGTGTGTGTGTGCGTGAGAGAGAGAGGGTGTATGTGTGTGTGCATGTGTTCACTGCTGTGTGTGTGTGTGTGTGTGTGTGTGTGTGTGCATGTGTTCACTGCTGTGTGTGTGTGTGTGCGCATGTGTTCACTGCTGTGTGAGCGTGAGAGAGAGAAGAAGTGTGTATGTGTGTGAGAGCGAGTGTGTGTGTCTGTGTGTGAGAGAGGGCCATGCTTGTGTGAGTGTGTGTATATGTCTGATTGTGCATGAGCCTGTGCGTGTGAGAGAGAAAGGGTGTGTGTGTGTGTGTGCGTGAGAATGTGTGTGAGAGTGAGTGTGTATGTATGTCTGATTGTGTATAAGCGTGTGCGTGTGAGAGAGAGAGACAGAAGGGAGCGTGTGTGTGTGTGTGTTTTTGTGTGTGTGTGTGTCTGACTGTGTGAGTGTATTCATGTGTGTTTGAGAGCGTGTGTGTGTGTGTGTGTAGTCCTACATTTGCGTGGTCCTGCTGTAATCCTCGTCTCTCCTCCATGATCCAGACTGTAAACACACACAGATTGACATTCAGTCAGTACACAAACATCAGCTTAACACACACACACACACACACACACACACACACTTACACACACACACGCAAACACACGCACACACACACAAACACGCACACACACGCACACACACACACACACACACAATAAGACATGTGGAGTGTGTGCTGAATGCTGGATTGTGATTGGCTGATCTCAGTGCATTAATAACTGCAGTAAAACAACATGAGTGTGTGTGGAGCTGTCAAATCAGCTTCTGAATGACACACAGAGCTTTTAGATCAGATGTGGAAACAGAAAACAGAATGGAAACACAGAAACAGACAGATATAAAGACTGAAGGATTCATTCAATGATCAATTGACAAAAGCGCAGCACAATAATAAAGCAGAATTCAGTGTTAAATGACTTGAAATATGATGGAGATCTTCATCTTCTGTCAAATGCCTCTTCATCATCTCCAAACATTGCTAAGTTGGAGAGCAGTGAATCCAGACCAATCTGCAGTCCTCCTCGCCCTTTGGAAGCTTGGTGGGTTTGTGTTCTGTTTATTGTTCATAATACTTCAGTTATAAAGGATTAGTTTAGGAGTTTTTTGTCATTTGCTTTATTTGAGTTTGTTCAACATGTGATTGTCACTGGACTATATCAGAACCAGCATCACTGTCTGCTGATCACTTTTATTGCCTGATATTTTGTGTTCATGTTAGTTTAGAA